CCCGTTTGAGGAAAAAAAATACTCCAGTATCCATTTTCTTACTCTGAGCTAAAAAGAACCCTGAAAAATCTATGGAAGCATCTCACAATTTTAGTTGTTCTGGAAATGTGCGCTCTTCTGTTAGTTATTTCACTTTGAAATTAAGTCACTAAGGTGTTTTTTTTTTTTTCCTCCTGCTTTCTCTCAAAAACTTCTAAGCTTTTGAATAATAACCTGTTTTACATTGTTAGTATTGTATACTTGCAGATACTTGCAGCATTTTAAAGGGAGGCTGAAGGAAATAGTCTTTTATATGCCTTTTACAGTCTTGGTCTTGCTGATCTTTGTCATACCCTGAAATGCAGTGCAATTTCATTTGCTTTCAAAGAATTAATAATCCATGTGTGCTGCCGCAGGCAGTTATCTGCACAGAGGCTGTCTAGTTAATGTTAGTCTGTGCTCACGCGTGCTTCAAATTTCTGTAGACACTGTTTTGATTATACTCTAGGCTGCACAGAAGAAAGGATAACACTTTCAGTTTGATTTCAAAGAATGTAGGAAATAATAATCAAATGTGACTGACACACTAAAATGAAGGTTATTTTTTTTCCCCCCAATTATTTTCCCTCTTAGAAAAACAGGAGGAAAGTTCTGATGATGAGACGGAAGAAGGCGAGGTTGAGGATGACAATCCAAGTGACGTTGAGGTCAGTACAAAAGGAAAGTGAAAACGCTATTATGGAAGTTTTGCTTTGACTGGTGTAAAGTCTTCCTAACATTATAGTTTTAACCACATGTATTTGCAATTCACAATTTAATTATCAAAGTAAATTAGATGGGGAAATGACAGGAAGTTGGTGAGAATAGCTGTGTAAGAATGTTTTGTGAAAGTAGATTTTGAAGAGTGCCAGGGCATCCAGCATGTAAGAGCTAGACGGGCTGCTCTTTTCTGCTGAGAGGAGGCAATGAAAAAACAATAATGGAAGGCAACGGCCTTTCAGCAGTGAAAGCAGTGCTTAAAGAGACAAATAGGATTTAGGCTGTCCATAGATATGTGTGGGAATCAGCATATGCATTGGTGTTTTGTAAGTAATTTAATCTTCACTGGCTGAATATATAATAGGTGTGATTAGTATTTTCTTTAGGAATGGCTCAGTGAACACTCATACATCATGGAAGTCTGAATTTTAGTTTCTATAAAGTAGATATAAATGGAAAAAAAAAGATTTTTAGTGATTGTGTGAGGGCATGAGAACCTGTTAGTAAAACCATTTAGATACGAAACAAGCAAAAAAACCAAATAGTTGTTTTTCAGTGTCAAAGTTGTGCTATATATTTTCTGCATTTCAGTCAGTAGTATAGTGTCATTTCAAAATTACTGGATTTAGTAATCTGAGATAATGTTATGAAGGAAGAGAAGGAAATATTTTAAATCTTTAGGGCAAGTTACTTTAAAAATTCACATTAGTTTGTCAAATAAAGCAGAGTTCATTTGAACATAATTTGAAAAGTAACTCAATAATCAATTGGTTGCTTCTCTGTAAGCAATCCATTTTCGTTCAACAGTAATTTTATTTTTGAGTCCAAAATACCTTTTTTGCCCCCCAAAGTTGGATGCCCTCTCCCAGGTAGAAGAGGATTCTCTCCTGCGTAATGATCTTCGCCCTGCCAATAAACTGGCTAAAGGAAACAAGCTATTCATGAGATTTGCTACTAAAGGTAAATGAACAGCTTAACAAGCATAATGAATTAATCGCTTGTTGTAGTTTTATTTGTTGACTAATTAATGACTTGAAGTACCTAGTTTTTATTTGCAAAATTGTTAGGTTTTTTGCTAATCATTAGGTAGATATCTAAGATTTTGCAATAAATCCACATTTAATGTGTGAATTAAATCCAGTTCAAGTTGTATGAAAATTATTGTACATAAAAATTTTATCTTGGGCACAGGGCATTCTTCCTAATACCATAGAATAGGTTTTATGATGCCCTTCTTCACAGAGGTAAATTTCACATTTTATAAATATGAAAATCGTTTGAGATGCTGATGAGGTATTAGTGGAAATTATTGCTAAATACAGTTGAGATATTAAATGATATTTTTGAGTAAAATGAAAATCCATATAATTCCTGGGCCATGTGGGAAGGTGACACATCCAGAAAGAAAAGAAAGGTCATGAATAAGGTAAGTATAGCCTCCAGCAGTTACAGTGGGATGTAATGCTGATATGTAGAAACTCAGTCTCCCTAGAATTAAGTTTCTAGACACAAATAAAACTGTGGTGGTAGGAGAAATTTCAGAGGTGTCAGCAAAATTATATCCTTCATGAAGGAGATTGAAGTAATGCTGATCTGTTAGACATACTCAGTCTTACTTTCACTCTCTGTGTCTTTGACTAGATAGTTATTTATTTTTATGCTAGTATTCTAAGAGGGAAATACTCCTTTAATTTATGTTTTTTCAGATGACAAAAAAGAGCTGGGAGCTGCAAGGCGAAGCCAGTATTACATGAAATACGGCAATCCGAATTATGGAGGCATGAAGGGGATTCTTAGCAATTCTTGGTGAGTATTGGATAGAGGAATTGGAACATTGCAAGTAATTGGACAAGATAGTCTAAAACTGTTTTAATTTGTGGATTTTCTTTCTATTCAGTTTATGTAGCTTATGCATAAATAATGTTTTTGCAATGTGACTATGGATTTGCAAGGAGAGTATTTTCTCATGAAAATAAAGAATGTTTATATTCAAAACATTCAGAACAGATCTCTCACATAAATGTATGTCTGCTGTTAAAGTAAGTGATAATTGCATATGCTTAATCCAGGACTGAATATGGTTCATTCATGATGCCTTTTCTGTGACAGGAATGTCATTCTTTTTATGGTGTTTCAGGAAACGAAGATATCATTCACGTCGAATCCATCGGGATGTGATAAAGAAAAGGACACTTATTGGGGATGATGTTGGCTTGACTCCTCCTTATAAACATCGTCATTCAGGTAATTGATGCCAATATGTCGACCCTGTAAGAACACAACCGGGGAATGGAGGACTGGAAAGGACCTTAAACAACACCTCATGTAATCCCCTGTGGTGCGTGAAAGTGAAGTGTACCTTTAAAAAATATATCTATAACTGAATCGCATTTTAAGATTTTGCAGGGAACAACTGGGGCAGAAACTTCACGCTGCTCATTGGCTTACTTAACTAGCTGCTACTTTTTATGTGATATTTTTCTCTTACGAGTTTAGGACATGGGGGCTATCGCATCAAGGGCAAAAAGAAGAGAGAACTTCTTTAAACTTCTTGGCAATTTGTCGTACTTGCTATGTCAATTCTTCCATTCTATGAAAAAGCAAGCTCTAGATGTAGAACAATAAAGATTAGAAAATTCTATTAATTAGGCTTGAATATCTTCATCTACTCCCTAAGGCAGGGGGTGTGCATTAGAAAAATAATTGGTGTAAAAATCTTTGACGTGAGACAGTTACAGTGTCGATGTTTCCTATGAGTGGCCTGTTAAAAATACAGCCATGGATGTATCAAATTTCATGGAAGATTTTGCATGTTGTTAATGTACTGCTTTCTGAAAAGATGCTTGCACACTGCTGATGACTAAATTTAAGTTGTTGATTTATATTTAAATCTGTATATGTGATAAATTCATACTAATGATATGTGTGTTCTTTTTGGCATTACTGCTTACAGGGCTTGAAAGGATTATTGCGGAGCCAGCAGTTGTCACATTAAGCCCTGCAAGATCATAGGAATTGTTATGCTTAGTTCAGGAAGTATGAACTGCACCTACTACAAGAGGCAGTTTTACTTTATACATTCAGTCCAGCTTTATGCTTGAGCAGGCTTCTGAGATAGTGAACACCATGGACTTTTTTCTTCTCCTGTGGCGATTTTCTTCCACTTAGGCTATTCTGTAATATAGATTCCACTTAGAATATTTTGCAAAATATTCTCTCTCTTTAGCCTTAGAGAAAGACTCATTTGTAGTGGATAGTTAATTACAGTGGGTTGGGGTTTTTTTGCCTTGGTTTTAAGGTACCTTATATGAATTATAAACTTCAGTTTATCAGAATCATTTTGTTTTGCTACAGGCTTAGTAAATGTTCCTGAGGAGCCTATTGAGGAGGAAGAAGAGGAGGAAGAAGATCAGGATATGGATGAAGATGACAGAGTTGTGGTAGAGTACCGTGATGAACTGCAAGCTTTCAAACAGTCCCGAGACCGCAGTGCAGCAAGACGATCGAGTGCTAGTGCATCTGATTCTGATGAAATGGACTATGATCTTGAACTGAAAATGATATCAACACCCTCTCCCAAAAAGAGCATGAAAATGACAATGTATGCAGATGAGGTGGAATCACAACTGAAAAATATTAGGTAAATATTCTTTAAAAGTATCAGTGAAAAGGCATTCTAAATTTTAATTAGTGACAGAGCTGTCAAAGCTTAAAGACAAACTGCTGAAGCTACTTTTTCAATTCTTAACATAATTTTGTAGTAGATATTTTAAAAAGAAATACAAAATACAGAAGACAGTGATACAGGCTTTTAATTACAATTAACATTCTTTAAATATAGCTTCCTTTGCAGATTTCTGTAACCCTCCTTATTGATAATAATGAAGCTTAGTGGAATCAATAGAAATTTATGCAAGCAAGCACAATTAACTTCTTGCATTTCATAGCTAGGCTAGGGAGAAAGAACTCCTCTTTCTCTTTTCCTTTTACCCCTTCCTCTTTTCTCAGAAAGAAGAATAACCCTTAAGTGTGGACGACAAAAAGGAATTTACGTTCAGTAGGGGCATATTAACCAAAATCGCATACATTGTAGATTATTAAAATAACCTCAACATGCATCCCTTCAGTAGTATGATTATAGTTCATTATAATGTCAAGTCCTTTAACAATTTCAAAGTTGCTTATCTGCTCTGAATTTTGACCCAGAGGCACATTCTTAAGGAGACAAACTCGATACCTGCCTTGAAATGGATACTGAGATATTCATGTGATTATTGCTAAACTTAGGATTTTGACTGGAACGCATGCTCTTCTAAGTAATGTTTTTACCTCTGTTTCTCAGTAGAGAAATCCTGATATTACTGTTTTCTGTGGTGTAATTTTACACACAAGAAGACTTAAGAACTATACTAGATTTCATTTCATTTAAGGGACGTTAAATCTATTATTATTTTATTTAGGAATTCCATGCGAGCAGATAGCATAGCAACCAGTAACATCAAAAATCGGATTGGCAGTAAAGGATCATCAGAGAAAGTTGCGGATGTAAGACTACTGTTAGAAGAAAAACGTCAGAATAATACTGGGCCACGTCAGCCAAACAGCACTGTAAAATCAGGTAATTTTAAACTCTTACATTGTGCAGAATTGTGACTGGCTCATTAAAATGGATATATTCATTTCACATCTGTGCTCCACTGCAACTTACAAACGCAAGGGAATTCTGTTCAGCAGCAGTTTCTGCATCCGTACAGTTAATTTTTCCTCACTAAGAGGCTGAGTTGGGGATTGCTTTGGGGAAGAATGAAGTACATTTGAGTGAAAGAATGACATTTATTTTTATCCAATTTATTTGCCTGTTTCTATTTCCCCCTGCTTTGTCCTTTTTGATTTGCTCACTCCTTGAGGCAGAGATTCTGTATGACTCTGAGAAACGTAGCACGTGGGGGGCTCACGTACAAAATGAAACGTGACACACTACCTACTTACATGAAAGAACATGTATTACCTGAATATAGATGTATTTTTCAACTGGCAGGGTGTATTTTTGGGCTTAATTGACTGTTGCGTTTTTGACTCAGGTATGGATAATTTCAGCTGATTTTGACATACATAATATTCAGAGGATTATGTGACTGATAAGTGAAAGATACTTTTTTTGAGTCAGTGTAATGTAGAAGTTATGTTAATATATTTTACCCCTCTTGCACATTTTGGGGCTCTGACAAGGTGGCACATAAATCCTATAACTTCCTTTGCCTTTATGTTTTTGTTTGAACCCTCTTTAGGAATATCTAGCTAAATCAGACAAACTTCAGAATGTAAGACTCGTATCATGGGTTAAGTATCAATTATTTAGGATTCTTATATTCTATTTTTCATTTTGTTCTGCAAAATACCAAGCAGTATTAGAATTCTAAAGCAAGGTATCTATTATCCAAAAAGAATCGTTGAAGGCATACCAATTTTTGTACAATCATACCTCATGCTGGATACATACATGCTGTGCTGCTAAAACAGAAATGCAGCAAGCCATGGAATAACTTACTTTTTCGATCTTCTGGACATAGCACAACCTGAAAACATTAGATGCCAAATTTACTGCCAAAAAAAAGAAAAATGAAATCTGCATAAATTTTATTGCAGATATTGCCAGGACTGAAATCCGAGTATGAAAGACGTAATGAAAAGACTACAGAAAGGATAAAAACAGAGAATCTGTCTAGTTTCAAGTTCTTGAAATTGTGCAACGAGCATAAAATTAGCTGGCAGAATAAAGTCAATGCATCATGATTTTTGTCATTTTAATCACTGAAAATATCCCTAGATGTGCGGCAAAGACTGGGAAAACGACCACATTCTCCAGAAATTAAACCTCCAAGTAGTACCTGTGCTCCTCGTCGAGAACCAATATCGGATGTACACAGTCGGTTAGGAATCCCCAAACAAGATGTAAAAGGCCTCTACTCTGATACCAGAGAGAAGAAATCAGGTTAGTTTTATGGAGAAATGTAATGCTGCAGTGCCTTTGTTTTTAGAATATAAGAGAAATTTCAGTAGAAAATCATGAAGGATGTTCAGTTGAGTGAAATTAAAGATGAATTAGCAAATGTTTGTTCAGAGCTTTCAGAAATCTAAATACATGTAGGTAGGTTGAGCTGAGTATTTTTATGAACAATATTTTTATATAGATATGCTTAAAAGTAGAGGACTACTTTAAAACTGTGGTCAAAACAGGGCACTAAATCGAGTGTAATGAATGCAATGGCACTGCAGACCTGTGTGTAGCGTTCTCTGCAAATGGGAAATGGTGAACAAGACTGTACTGAGCCTCCCATATTTTAATTTCAACTACTGCTTCAAAGCATAGTAAGTTCCATGCCAAACATTAAGGTGGGAGTAGTATGAGGAGTTTAAAGGGATGCAGTGAATTTAAGACTAGGTTCCTTAGAGTTCCTCCAGAATTCCTCTTAGTCCTATCTTTTTTTTTTAAAATGTTTGGTTTTCATCTGTTTAGGTAATTTATGGACCCGATTAGGGTCTGCTCCGAAGACACAAGAAAAGACTTCAGATAAACCTGAAAACTCTGTGGCATCTCCAGAGGAAGATGATTCAGAGCTACAGCGGGTTTGGGGTGCTCTCATTAAGGAAAAAGAACAGTCTCGGCAAAAAAAGAGTCGATTGGATAACTTACCATCTCTACAAATTGAAATCAGCCGAGAAAGCAGTTCTGGATCAGACACTGAATCATGATTGTTTTTACATTCTGATCCTGAAGATTGTGACTCTGCAATGTGGCAAGATTTCCTTTGCCCAAAAGCTGGACACTGGCAAAGACTCTGCAGTGAAGGTTCCAGAAGTGTCTCTGTTCCTTTTATACAAAAACAGAGATGCATATACCACTTGAAACCTAAAGCAATCACGTTTGTCTGGAGTCTGTGGTTGGCCCTGTGTTACGTAGGGCATTGTCATACATGTTTATTACAGCAAACCTTTAGTTAATTCTAGCAAAACACTTTTCCCCAAGCTTTGAACTTAAAAGAAGACGCAGAAATGCTCTGTATTTTTAAGAAGATCTTTTTGTTCTTAATATTTTTAACATGGAGCCTTTTAACAAAATACTTTACACAATTCATCCAAAGAACAGGGCATTTCATAATGAACGTCATTGCCTTGCCCTTCTGGCTCTTACCAGCACCTTTCCTTTCCTCTTGAAGAAATAACAATAATGCTTCCTGGGTAGGCAGCCAGCAAGGATAAAGCATGAAGGGACTATTACATTCCCTTCCTCCAAAATACTGAATGTAAATCTAAGTTAAGCATTTTAGTACAGCGAAATTTCACATAGTATCCAAGTAGCATCACTGCTCTCAAGGAATTCTGCTCATTTATTTTGGTGTTACTATGTTCTGCTGTAGCAGGGATTGAGATGTTCAAGACTGCAAAGTTGGATGTGTGAGAATTGTGTAAATTCCCAAGGGTTTAATTTTTTTTGTTGTTACATAAGAAATTATTTCTTTCATTTCATCTGTATTATGTTTTGAAGAAATCTAACGATTTAAAAGCATACATTTTTATATTTGTGAGAATTTTCCTGTTGGGCACAGTGAAAGCTACAGTGGTGTTTCCCATGTGCTGTTTAACTATGTATATATAACTGAAAGAGAAAAGGAAAACTATAGGATCACTGTCTCATGTCAATATTTTTGAATGTTCTTACTGTATAGTACATGTGGATGTGCACATGGTTGACTTGTTACGTTCAGCTTTTCTACCCACATACCCTCTCTAGGTAGGAAAAAGGTTTGATCAGTGTGCAACTGCAATTTTTTCTCTTTGCCTATGGCATTTATTTTGATTGCCAATAATTCTAAATAAGGAATAATGATAGCACATCACATTCTGGTAAACAGAACAGGTAGCAAAAACATTGCTACATTTTGATAGTCTGAAAATTTGTTTGCATTGTCCCTATTTCCTAGGTTCTGTCAGTTCAGAATGTGTATGAATATCTCTTCCCCTTTCTGCTTTGTAACAAACAAATGTTTTCTCTTTTTCCCCCTATTTTTGTATTAAGTTGAAGTAGGTTTGAGGCTTCACAAAAGCAAGGAGTCTGCAATTAACTTTTCTTATTGCTTTATTATGTGTAAGAATAGCAGCATGTAAAATTAAAGGTAAAAATGAAAGGTACAGTGACTAGAAGGGTAATCTGGGGACTAGGCTTCAAGCCTTATTATTTCCTTGTTTTGTGACACTCATCCTTGATTTTATATTTAATTATTGAATATATAAATATGTCTCATGAAAGTACTGTTGAGAGTAAATGACTGCAATGTCTGATCACTGTAATAATACATTTTAATGTGTGCTTTCATTAATACCCCTTCCAAAGCTTTCAAATAGCATCATACCCATACCGTACTCATTTCTCAAGATCCTGATGAAATTATTTAACCAATGTCTTTTTGCCAGTAAACCTTTGTGTTGTATTACTGCTTTGAATCCATTATGACCTTTCCTTTTCCTGAAAGGAGATGGTAGATAGGAATCACGTACCTGGTCTATGAAGACAGGCTTCTGCGCTGTTGTGAATCTTTGCATGTTTTTAAGCTCAGCAACTGGTTGTGGTCTGCTGTTCATGTTGCTGATAACCGCTGTGTTTCCATGTAAATACTCGTAACTGGAACCTGGTGAAGGACAGACTAACTGGTATGAAGGGCAGAATGGGAACAGAGAATCTCTTCAACTGATAAAAAAGATCTGAACTAATGGATGTATGAAATCAACAAAAGCGATGTAGGCAAAGGCTTGCGTTAGTTGAAGAGGAGCCATTACAACTGGTTCTGTCTTCCAGGTAGTCATAAACATGCCTTACAAATGCCTCCATGTTAGTTGGGTCCATCGTGTTTATGGTTTGGTGGGAGGGTTATGTGTGTTAATGAGACCATGGTAGCTTAGCTGCAAGAAAAATAGAGGTTTACTGTTGAAGGGACCTGTAGAGAGTTTTTTTGTAATTAGTGTTTGCCTGGTTTTGCTTTTTGATGGTGTACAGAGAAGCCTTGGAAAGTGTTTGCTGGTGTCAGGAATTCTGGCTTTGGTCTTCCTTAGCTGCTTTACATGAACTTCTGGGTTTTGATAATTAAAAATAAGCACTGAATCTTTAGTGGATGCTTTTTCCTCAACATGGGTAACATAAATCTATTTGACCTAGACAGAGATTGCATGGAGAATTTTGTTGTAAGTCCCTTTCTCTTTGTGGTCAGCTGTTTGGCTCTTAGCTGATGTGTTCTTCATCTTTCACTGAACTCCTGGATATTAGCATATTCCAGGTTAGACAAATTACAATTTCAATGTAAGGAGCAAAATTAAGTAATTAGAATTCTTTGCGTAATAAAAAGAATGCAAGACCTACAAAGGCCACCTTCAAGGAATTTGATACAGAAAATTAATGTTCTGATATTGAGAAGTGCAACCTATGTCTTTTACTAAAAGGAACTTACCTTGAAAACTGCAAAAAGAAGTTTGGCTTTGGCTTTTGCTGTAGGATCTATGCCTCAGAGGAAAAATTAAATGTTTCTGAATTTTAGGTGACTTGTTATAGGACCACACTAGTCCTTCCTCTAGGAAGTTTTCGCTGTTTTAAAAAGGTATTTTTTTGGTAAATGGTTCAGGTGACTGTTGCATTGTGCAAAAGAACTCGTCGTGGGGGCTGCGGGCCCTGTGCTTGCAGCTCTCCTCGGGCAGTCTCTGAACGTGTGGCGTTGGTGGCGAGACTTGAAAGCGAGGGCTTTTTTTCTGCAGGTGGTGGCCCATGTGTTTAACAGGGAAAGGAAAGCAAAAAACCCCGTATTTTCACTTCAAGATGACATTTTATGTGAAAATAATGAAACTTTTATTTAAACAGCTGTTCTGTTCCAAATAAAAGTGGTCTGAAATCATGCTCATCTATCCAGTTTTGCTGGAACATACATCATAAGGAGAGTGCTGCACCTCTTCTCGGTGAAGGGCCTGTGGATGCTCCCTTGGCTGCCCTGAGTGGGGCTTGTGCCTTCCTGGGGGCAAGATGAGGGTCCCTGCAGCTACAGGTGTAGCCTGTCCCAGCCCAGTCTTAATGAACCCCCTTTCCTGCTTTCAACCGAGTAGAGGGACGCCTAAAATTAGGGTCCTACCGGCCTAGCGAGGCTGAGAGAAGCCTCAAGGCCCCGATGCCCGCGTCTCCCTCCCGGGCCGCACTGCAGGAAATGGACGCCCCGGCCCATCCCCGCCTTGCTGGAGGAGTGGCACGGTCCACCCC